ATTTACATGTACATATATAAATATATATATATATATATACATCAAAGAAAAAGAAGAAGAAGAAGAAGAAGAAGAAGATGATGATGAATAAAGTAGTGTAAGAGATCTTTTATCATCGAGCTGTGATTGGTGGTGACCTATAACCTCTTCCAAGGAATTGGCTCCGCCTCTCGTTTACGCATCATCGACATAGAAGCATTAAAAAGAGAATAAAAGAAAAGTTCTTTTCTGTTCTCTCGATGGTGGTGGTGATCGTGGTGGTGGTGATCGTATTCTTTACTGACACACAAGAGTGTGATAAATATAATACTTAAATACTTAAATCTCGCGCAGTATTATTTGTCCCGTATTGAAAATAAACATGGCGTCCATATTTCCTTTACGACACGAATATAGCTGCAGACGACGAACGGGGACACTCGTTCAATTGTTAAAATGATTTATCTAACGTTTCAGATCTAAAATATACTTTCAAAGTTATTTGAAATATATCGTGATATATAATAAATATATTTCATAATTGTTATATATTATTTATAGAATCAGATATGTTCGAATATGTTTTAAAGAATAATATTCTATTGAACACCATCATCACCACCAATAATATGCTTGACATTAGCATGAATTAATGAATTAATGAGTTTTTACATCGGTATGTATGTATAGACGAAGATGCGTATAATTTGTGCGTGGGTTTAAAAAGGAGCAATTGAAACATAACTAACGCATATTACTCCATCAAGGAACGGAAGGCACGGGTCTTAGCTTTTCCGGTTTATTCTCTTTGATCCTTACGAATCGGACTATACTTATCGGTTATTGTGTCATTAAAACCACCATTCAATTAATCTTATTTAATATTTTAAAACTTATTCATTTATATTTTTTATTTATTATTATAATTACCACAATATAATTAGATTGAATATAAATGTGTATAATCATATATTTTTATTATGTTCATCGTATATATCGGAAATTATATTCAATTATAATTATATTAATTCCACTCGAATATTTAATATCACGAAAAGTCGTCTTAATAATATTTCAATACGTTTCAAAGAATCAATTAATATAACGTGTGTGTGTTATAATCTCTATGAAAAAGAAACAAAAAGATATTTCATTAAAATATTCGCGCTGAAAAATACTCAAACGATGATAAAAAGAAATCATCGATATTTTAGAAATGTTCGTATCAAATTTCGTATCATCGTAATACACGAGTATTATTTTGATGATTCATTCATTACATTTATTTTTTTCTTTTGTATAGATATACTTTTAATAATCGAAAATAAGAAGAAGATGAAGAAGAGAAAAAAAAAGAATTGCGCGATATTTTATTAATCGTAATCAAAAGAAACCGAAAACTTTCCATGCCACGGTTTTTAATTAAAATTCGATAACGGGGGGGTTTTTATATCGCGAGTTTCTTTGCTTAAAAAAAAAAGAAAACAATTGTACAGAAATTTTATTAATTATTTTTTCTTTTTCTTATTCTTTACGTTATTAATTATAGAATTTGTTTTTTTTTATTGGTTTTATTCGATTAAGAATCGTAAATGCACCACCCCACGTCAGGCACGCCACGCATTTGATTTTTGTTGTTGTTCTTTCTGATTTAACGCGTACGGTCAATTATTATATTATATTCTATACTGTTTTTAGGAATCTGTTATCATATTCGAAAGAGATTAGATTCGATAGTTTTAAAAAGCAGGCGCCTGTTTACTTGATGTTACGTGATGCAATACTGGGTCATACGATGTCCGTCGCTTCGAGAATGTGCTGCGCATGCATGCATTCAACCAAGCAACCGATAAAAACGTTCCCGTAAATCGACATTTTATTTATTTTCTTTTTTCCCTTATCTTTATTTTTTTTTCTTGTTTTTTTTTTTTTTTTTTTTTCAAACCGTCACCTTTCTTTCTCTAACTCTAACTCTTTCTCTCTCTCTCTCTCTTTCTCCCTCTCTCTTTTTCTCTCTCTCTCTATCTATCTTTTTCTGCTGGCACGTAGATATAATAAAGTTGGTCGTATATTTGTTTTTTTTAAATAATTATTCCGTGACCATTTGCGAATGCGACGAAATTTTTTTTACACCGCAAGATATTCTCACAAATGTAAACCGAAATAATTTTCCTATCTCATTTTTAGTAAGTCGCTCGTTGGGATTTAACTGCTGGCCTTTGCAGTAAATCCTACCCATCACGTGCATACATTTACATAAACATTGTTAACACTTTCTGCAGAATTAAATCAGAGATAAGTGCAAAATGTCGTTTCCGTTTTTTACGTCCAGCAGCCTTTCAATTGACTTAATACTATCATATTATCTGTAGTTTTCTTATTATTTTTTTTGTTTTTTGTTTATTTTCTTTTTCCATATTTTCCACTTTTATTTTTTTTTTTTTCTTTCATTTACTTTAATACATTCACGCTTTTCTCTTCTTTATCTTCCCCTTTCGTTGACTCTATTTTTTTTTCAATACACATCATTCTTTGTCCCTCATTGCATCCATCCTCTTTCCCTCTCTTGGTTGTACGAATTCTGTTTGTAACTTTTTTCTTTTTTTTTTTTAAATTTCTTTGTTCTTTTACAGAACCATTATTACTGTACAACGACCAACCATGTGTGTATTACGCTGTTTAATTACATGCATAATATATTCAAACATTTGTTGCTGCTGGCCTTTTCCTTATTCTTATTCTTCTTCTTTTTCTTCTTCTTCAACCGTAAACAATGTATCTCTTTTTCTTCATTTCTTCGTACACCTTCATCGCATGCTGTATGTATACTGCCACTTCAATTATGTTTAATATTATATAATTGTGCTAAGTATTCTTTTATGAATAACATTCTCATCTTTATACATTCAGTAGAGCCGATTACTTTAATTGATAATTCAATGTCAAACTACGCTAAGAAATGATTACTATACAGTGAAAGAGAAATGTGTGTTTTTTTTCGTCGTGGGACATGGGGTAGTTCTTGGTTTTTTTTTTTTCTTCTTCTTCTTCTTTTTTCTTCTTCTTCTTTTCTTCTATGTTAATTCCCTGTCGCCTGTGTATATGTGTGAATTTGTCACCTTTGTATATACTTATATATATATTTGTTTTCTTATTCCCTTTTTTCATATTAATATTTTTTTTTATATTTCGACTTCCTTTCGTCAGACCGAAATAATAATAATAATGATAATAATAATAATTTCCATACTTCCAAATAATGTCATTTCGTATCTCTCGACTTGTCGCAGCCATTACTTGTATCGCAATACTTCCGCTAAGATACAACACATCTCTCACATTTTGAATGATTTGTGTAGACGTTATTTTTAAATGCACGAGTTCTAACATTATGGTAGTTTGAATATAACATTACAGAAGTATGCGCAAGTGATAAGGCGATACGGATCATGAACGGAGATTAATATGTGTGTATATGTAACCGTGTGTATGTATGTATGTATGTATGTATGTATGTATGTATATTTGTATATATGATTAAGTAAAATGTCGAAACAAAGTTGCAATATTTTAATAGTTTTAGGGGAGCGTTGTTGGTTTGCAGGCGACAAGTCTTGCATTCTTGCCTCTCTACGTGCTGTTTATTTTGTGTACAAATAGATGGCAACGATGAGACCATAGAGACCCAATACTTCTGCGAAGATGAGAATTAAGATCATACCGACAAAGAGACGAGGCTGTTGTGCAGTGCCTCTTACACCCGCGTCTCCCACAATACCAATGGCAAATCCTGCAGCTAAACCAGAAAAACCTACGGCTAAACCAGCACCCAGGTGGACAAAACCGCTATAGCAAAAGGAAAGAAAAGAAATTTCGTTAATCGTTAATACATGCGTTGAATAATCAGGTTAAAATATCGATTCGTAGTTATACAATCGTTAATAAACCCTTTTTGTTTACTTGCTGTATTAAACTGTTTGGAAAGTTTTAATATAGCTTTGCGTAAAGTATAAACAATGTAAACATTTTATCATATTTATGCTAAATATAAGAATAAGAACTGTTATCTTGAATATAAGCCTAATCTTAAATACATTAATAGTTAGTTTTAAACTAGTAATAAGATAGTAATAAAGTAATAATAAAAAATAAAGATATCTACATCTAATAATGCTAAATATGTAAGTTGTATCTTTAAAAATCACAACCTAATATTAAAATGGTGTTAAAGCGTACAGCATAAATATATATATAAGTTTTATCAACAATAATAAAGAATCTAGTACTTACTTATAGAGACGGTATTTTGGTGGTTCGTCTAGATTACCGGCAATAAGAACTGCAACTACCAGCCCGTAAATGGCAATAATACCAGCCATGACAACAGGAATGATCGATTTCATAATAAGTTCTGGCCTCATAACAGACATCGCTGCGATGCCAGTACCTGATTTAGCTGTACCATAAGCTGCTCCCAGAGCTACAAATTAGTTAAAAAATGTAGTCCTATTTTGTCATCATAACCTCACACATTTATATTCAACATAATCAGAATTTCCTTAATATAAAGAAACCAAAAAAAAACACAATTAAACATTTTCAATAAGATTTTCATAACACCACAATTATATGATTTCATTTAAAAATAATAAATGTTATTAATTAGATCAAAAGAGTAACTGCATAATCGTGACATAGTCGTAGAAGTCGAATTTTTACGATTGTAAATATCGATATATCGATTATCATTATTATATCCTAAAATCGAACAATCGTTTTTAAAAACGAATTACAAAAGTGGCATAGCATGATTGGTAAATGTGTTGATTAAAAAAGAATTATATAAAAATATACAAGAAAGGAATATTAGGTAAAAAGAAATATGTGTATATATATATAAAAAAACAAAAAGAATGCAAGAAGGTTGATCGATGACGAGCATGTTACGCCCAGAGAGACTGGAAACCCGGAGTCACATGAGTCTCACGTTGGCAGTCACATGATAATCATGTAAGTCCCCGTCCCGTGAGTAGGGGGGCGTGGCACGATTGGTCCCCCCCATTTTTTGATATGGAATACATTAAGAAACAAAAAATAAAAAGAATATATTAATTTATCCTTTATAGAAGTAAATTGCATGTGAAATATAAAAGTACTATCCATTTATAAAATGAGATTTGTTCCTCTTCTTTTAAAATAAAAAATAATAATAATAATAATGAATAGATGGAAAAGAAAATCACTAGATAGGAATTTTAATTTAAAAAGTAATAGGCTAGTAATATTAATTAGGGATTAGTCTAGTTATTTAAGAACACTGTGGTCCAATTGTATAAAGAAGAAGAAGAAGACGACGAAGATCATTATTATTCGTATATATATGTATATATCCATCCCGGTGTCTCCCTCATTCGTGCCTCGTGTTCGATATCCTTTTCCTCGTGTGCTGCCGTCGTTGTTCCATTGAAGATAGGACTTCGGCGCACACGAGAAAACGGATCCGTATTGATTTCCTCGATAGGAAGCCGAAAGGTTCTCGTGGCTCACTTCTCAGAAAGCAAAACTCGATTGCCTTCTATTATCCTTCCTTCCTTCCTTCCTTCTTTTTCTCTTTCTTTCTCTCTCTCTCTTTAAACTAGACATTTATTTTTCAAACATTGGCAGAACATTTCAAAAGATATCATAAAGTTTCTCGTGTTACTAAAGAGCATGTTACAATTCAACGATAAGGATGATAATGCGTTGATAAAATATGATACATAACGATGTATATCTACTAAAATCAATTACTAAACAAAAAGGCAACTACAACTGTCGCGACAGGAAAACAAAAAGTAATGCTTCTTCTTCTTATCGAGGTCAACGAAATTACGAAATAAGAATTTAAAGTCTAACTGTAGTAACTGAAGGAAGGAGGAAGAAGGGGGAAGGAGGTAGGGAACGTTCTGTTCTTTTTAATGATACATACGTAAAAGACGGAGAGGAGACAGAGAATGAGAAGGATAGAGATAGACGTATGGTTGGATAGAAGAGGAATCTGTTTTAATGAAGAAGAGAGTTTCTTGGATCATGTTTTCAGAAGATTACGAAATTGACGATCTACATGCGCAGGAAAATGGCGCTTCAAATATCGAATCCGTATCCTTGGCATCTTCAGCTAACCGAGATTAGAACTTCTCTGCCGTTGCTATGCGCATCGAATAAGAGAGAGAGAGAGAAAAAGAGAGAGACAGATAGAGAAAATAAGAGAGATAGATAGAGCTAAAGACACGTCGTATTTTTCCATTTCCTATCGTTAAAAGGACGACGAGCAACGAGTCTTATATGCGTCTTCTTCGTTGTTGCATTCGAAGGGATTGAAAGATACACGAGAGAGACTGAGACAGAAGATGTATATATATATATTGAACGATAGAAAGAGAGGGAGAGAGAGAATCTAAATTACAAGTATCGTTTCGATCGTACGTCGTTCGATTAAGCGTTTTCTCCGTCAGCCCATCCATTCGTTCGTCTGTCCGTCCATCCGTCCGTCATTTTATTTTCTTCACGTCCTTCGTTTTTAATTAATCCGCATTCGATTATCAAAGGAAAAAATGTGACAGGTTTTAGAAAAAAAAAAACCCTATGACATAAGAACCTTGTCATCGATTGGACGAAATATGGGATCGATTTTTCCAAATCTTGCGCGCTTCGGGTAGATAAAATGGCGCGTTAGACGTTTCCCCAGATTCCCCGGGCACATATACAGATACACGTATATTTATATAGGATGATTATACGTGATTGTGTGTTTTATCGTTCATTTATTAAATAATATTTTATCGTGCACGTCATCGTAATGATGAGTCATTTCAGGTTCGAAGGATTTGGTTTTTATTCAGATAGGAATATCGAAATATTTTAGTATCGATTAATGGTTGACAGTAAAATATATCATGGTTATGTATGTATGTATATATCTATGTGTGTGTGTGTGCGTACGTGGGTGAGAAAGAGAGAGAAACTTACCGGAAAATATAATGGCAGAGGCAGCGCCCATTACACCGAAAAAGGGCCCGTAAATGGGTGCGTCCTCTGTAAACGTACTCATCTTGTGTAATGTGTGTGTAGAATAATCTTCTATCTGTAATTAATTGAGTACGTCTCTATGGACTCCTCGCTCAATAAATGATCGCGAGTATTTACACAAGTTGTCGGTTGAATAATCCGCGGACCGTCGAACGAAGAGCGATCTTCACGCACTCACTTCGCTAGACTAGTGCCACTGTCAAATATGGCCTACCGTATAGTGGCGCGGGTCATGTGACGAGTGACGACCGATAGAGGAAGCTGTTCACTTACCGAATAATGTATTCGCGATTCTCATTGGTCATCCAATAAGAGCTACCGTACAATCAACCAATCATCGATCCTGTCTCTTCTCATCGACATGACGTCAAATACTTTACACAAACGCCATCTACTCTAATGATATTTTATTCTATGCACATGCGCACACATTTTGGAAGCGCGTGACGCGCGCGCTTCCGATTCCTGATCTACGCCTATGCAATATTTGGGAATTCTACCTGGAGACGCTTAAAGAGAACTAATTTACTTATACGTATATATTTATGCATACATATATACATATATATAGATATATGTCCATGTATTCTTGCCTTGACACAATTTCATGTTTCTAAATTTTCATTCGCTTTATACTGTCATCAATTGATTTTATTTAAATTATGATAGAATTTTTGCAATATCTTATTCTAATCATTCATGTATTAGAAGATATATATATATATATAATAAATTAATGAATAGCTTATTCATATTATTTTGTTCTTATCTTGTATCAAATTATTATCTACCTTTTCCAATTTAAATAAAGTAATTATCTCGCAATCGTCTTATCAGATCAATGAACGTGTAAACGTTTATCGCAACTGCGTATCGAATCACACATATGGGTGAATGTAGGACATGTTTCTTTCTATGCTTCTTATTTAACATCTGATGTTATTTAATTAACTAATAAGATACAATTATGAGTTGATAATTGTATCATAATTTTATTTTATTTTAATTTGATATTTAAATGTTATTATATTTTATTGTAAAATTAATTTCAATAATAAATATGTGGATAAATGAGAACGATAAGTTTTGTTCATTGTATTGTTTTTTTTATTAATATTATTAATATTATTTATCTATAAAAAATTGTTTAATAAATTGTATAGTTTACACAGAATAGAAATTTATTCTTTAAAATATAATTTCTGTATTCAAGCCGACGCCTTAGTTTCGAACACGTGATTTGTAATTTGTAGCGGAAGTTGTAGAGGTCGCACGTTTCACTGTACTACCAATTTTAACAATAAAGTAAACGTGCTCTGCTATTTTTTGTTATATTTTGAATAACCTAGGAACACAATGAAATTCTCTTATAAGGTTTGATTTTATTTTAAATTTTAATATTTATGTATTATTTAATTATTATTTAATATTTATATTGATAGAAAATTCATTTTATATGTTAATAGTTTTTTCTAACCTCTTTTCAGTTGTTTAGTTTATTATATACATACAGATAAATACTAATAAACGCAAATAAAAATTAATTAATAAATAAATATAATAATGAAAAATAGAAAATATTATATAAATTCATGTTAATTGTGTGTTTGTATTTTATTTTTATAAGAACTTTTTCTAACCTATTTTTATTAGTTGTTGAATTTATTATATGTACTTGGATATCAATATATTGGTATTATTAATAATTAAATAATTTGTTTAAATAATAGAAAAATAGTATTTACATTAATATAAATTGTACTTTATGTTTTAAAGTTCAGTAATTTACTTGGTACGGTGTACCGTAAAGGAAATGTAATATTCTCTTTGGATGGATCGTCTGTTATTAGTCCAGTGGGAAATAGAATCACTATTTTTGATTTAAAAAAGTAAGTATTTAATATATTAATAGTAATAATTATAATATACTCATAATAATAATTACACGCTTATAAAAATGATTTAGGAAACTAATAAATATTAAAATCGTATTATTTCAGCAACAAATCAACGACTCTTCCAATAGAAAGTAATTATAATTATAGCACTTTAGACATTTCTCCAAACGGTCGTTTGTTAATCGCAATTAATGAAGGTAAAGCATTTACAAATAAATTTACTTTTCGTATTATAAACCACTTACATTATAACAACATATGATTACAACAATGAAATTAATAAATTACACACACACACAAGATGAAGTTGTAGTTAATTAAAAAATTATACTTACAGAGGGAGATGCTCATATAATCAGTATGGCCAGTAAAACGGTGATAAATAAATATAGATTTAAATTTCATGTCAAATGCGTTAAATTTTCACCTGACGGGGAACACTTAGCTGTTTGTAAACAGAATAAGGGTAATCACGTATAAAAGAAACATAATATTCTTATCCCTTATTTGTATTATAAAAATTGAATGATTTATGTATTTGTATCTATAATCTTTTTAGTTTTTATTTTTGATGTACCAAGTCTGCAATCAAGAGAATACAATTCATTTATAATGGAACGAGTATTTCATACAGCTGTCGATGAAACTTCGTGTTTAGATTGGTCTTTCGATTCCAACCTATTGGCTGTTGGTTCCAAAGATTGTTGTATTCAATTGTACAGTTTAAACAAATGGGTTAATTTTAAACCAATTATGCTTGGTAGTCATCGTGATAGTATCGTAGGGTGTTTCTTTGAAAAGGATAGTTATGACATAACGACTGTTGACAGGTATAGTATTCATTATATATTTAATAATATTTTTATGGACTATTCATAAAAAAATAAAAAATATATTATTCATAGATATGGACAAGTTTGTTATTGGCAATGCACCATTGATCCCAAGGATTTGGTGCTTTGGAATCCACCGATTAAAAAAAAAAAAAGAAGAAAAATTGATAGCGACATTGAAGATGACGTAGACTTGGATAAAGCTATAGAAAAAACTGAAAAACAATTCGAAACTTCTGAGAATAAATTATTCCAATTCCGTAAGATAAAAATTAAAGAAAATTTTATTGAAATTTTTAGTAATACTTTAACATGTGTAATTTCATTTTCATAAATATAATATTTTAGCATTTGAAACAACAGAAGAAGTAGAAAATGAAGAAGAAATAAGTTCTTTTTCCTCTGAAGATGAACAAGAAACAGAAATAAAAGAAAAAGAAACAGAAAGAGAAGATAATACAAAAAAATTGAAAAAATTTAGAAAATTACGTTATAAAAAAATTGTACGTCATTTCGTATCACCAAAAGTAGAAAAACAAGACTCAAAGGATATAAAATTAACGGCAGCTGCATATCATAAAGATTCTCATATTTTAATAGTAGGATTTAATAATGGTACCTTCTTTTTATATGATATGCCTGACGGGAACGAGATTCATTCTTTAGAGTATGTTCTTTAAATATTATTAACAAAATACTATTATTATACTATTATTTTATTTCTTAACTTAATCATTTTCGTTTTATCAGGATTTCTCAACAAAGTATTTCTACTATTGCGATAAACCCTACTGGAGATTGGATAGCTTTAGGATGTTCAAATGTAGGTCAATTATTGGTTTGGGAATGGCAAAGTGAAACATACGCTATGAAACAGCAAGGACACAGTAACAATATTAATTCTTTAGCTTATAGTCCTGATGGACAATATATTGTTACGGGTGGAGAAGATGGAAAAGTAAAGCTATGGAATACCACGAGCGGATTTTGTTCTGTTACCTTTAAAGAACACACTTCCGCGGTTACAGGAGTTTTTTTCAGTCACAACCGTAAATTCATTGTTTCTTCTTCGCTGGATGGAACTGTCCGAGCGTACGACTTAACCAGATACAGAAATTTTAAAACTTTAACGTCATTGAAACCGATACAATTTTCTTGCGTAACGTTAGACTCGAGCGACGAGTTCGTTGCTGCAGGAGGTCAAGATTTCTTTTTTATTTACTTGTGGAGTATTAAAATGGGATCTTTATTAGAAGTATGTCTAATTTCAATAAATTTTTGTATCACTTAAAAATCTTGATAATTCAAAGATTACTCTATGATAATAATTATTCGTTTAATTTTTAGATATTAGGTGGTCACACTGGACCCGTTGTAAGTTTAGCTTTTAATCCGAATTTGGCGAGCTCTGAACTGGTATCTGTTTCCTGGGACAAAACATTGAAAATATGGAATGCTATAAGAAATGATTCTATGCATGAGACGATACAGTTAAATTCCGAGGGTTTATACGTCACTTACAGACCTGACGGGGAAGAAATTGCAGTTGCTACTTTAGACGGAGACATTTCATTTTTCCATTGTAAAACTGTACGACAAACAGGCAGTATCGAGGGCAGGAATGACTTAGCCGGTGGTAGATTACAAACAGATATGATTACAGCAAAAAAATCTTCACAGGCTAAGTACGCAAAAATATTTTTTTCCTAATATGATTTTAAATCATTACACTAATTGTTAATTTAAAAATTATATTCTATTCTAGAGGATTTACTTCATTGTGTTATTCTGCTGATGGCTCGTGTATATTAGCTGGTGGATGTTCTAAAAACGTTTGTATTTATAATGTTAAAGAAGGCATATTATTAAAAAAATTTGAAGTCACACAAAACAGGTCTTTGGATGCGGTAAACGTATGTATTATTATAATTATTTACCCCTAAGGACTATAAAAACGTGTGAAACTCGTGATATGATTGAAACATATGAAACACGGGTCTTACTCATTTATTCTATTTTTGTTATAACATTCTGTAATGAATAAACTATTTGTTTTAATAGGATTATATAAACAGGCGAAAATTGACTGAATTTGGAAATTTGAATCTGGTTGAAGAACGTGAAGAAAATGAGGGTGGTAACGTGACGTTGCGTTTGCCAGGTGTTAGAAGTGGCGATATGGCTAGCAGAAGTATGAAACCGGAAGTCAGGGTTTATAGTTTACAATTTTGTCCAACAGGTAAAATTAATATTAAATATTATAAATATTATATATATATATATGCTTAAATTGATTTTGTTATTAAAATAAATGTACTAATTAGGACAAGCATGGGGAGCAGCAACGACCGAAGGTTTGCTGATATATTCGTTAAATGCCGGATATATGTTTGACCCGTTTCAACTAGAGATTGAAATCACTCCTCATACTACCAAAAAAGTTATTTCTAAACAGAAATACGGAAAAGGTTTGTATCTTATTAAACATTTAATTATATTTATGTGTGTTAATAATAATTAACTCTAAATATAATGTGTTTTCATTTTTCAGCATTGATGATGGCTTTGAAACTGAATGAAAAATCTTTAATAAGACAAAGTTTAGAAGCTGTACCATTCAAAAATAGTAAGACTATTTAAATATTCCTATTAAATAAGAAAATGAATTTATTATAATCAATATTTGTTATATTTAATATTTTAGTTGAACTGGTTATAAGTTTCTTGGCGGATATTTATGTAGAGAAGGTTTTGAAATTCATAACAACCGAATTAGAATCAACGAGACATATACATTTTTATCTTTTATGGATAGAAGTGATATTAACTAATCATGGACATAAAATGAACACGATCTTTCAAATGCCGTTACTGTTAATGTTGCAAAGAAATATGCAAAAAATGTACGACGATTTGAGTCATATGTAAGTTGAATTGAATTTTCATAGAACAATATTACATTTCATTGAAAAAACAAAAATATCATTTTAAACATAATTTCTTATAACAGATGTGATTATAATCAATACACGATAAGTTACATACAAAACATGGGAAGAATAAAGGCTGCTAAATCTAAATTAAAAGATAAAGATCCGTGTAGTGATGAATCCGATGATTCATTATAAATCATCATCTGTAATGATTTATCTTAATACAAGTAAAATAATTTTAACTTTGTATATATAAAAAAAATGCATGTAAATGCATTATATAAAAAAAATGCATGTAAATGCATTATATATATAAGAAATACATAAAAATATTTTTTTTATGCGAAATCATTTCAATTTTTCCTAATGTTTATTTTATTTAAGAAAATTTAGCGTTACGTACACAACGTGTGTGTGTGTATGTTGTATATCATTTGATTATTACAATATATAATAATAATAATAATTAAAATTTATAAAGAAATTTCTATACGGATCCACTAAGTGTGCCAAAACAAAGTCAATTAATACTGAAAATAGTTGATTGACGTGGCATTTAGAAAAATAAACTTACAACATCATGCTGCTTTTTTAAGCAAAAGTATTGGCCAATATAAAATTACGAATAATAGAAAAAGAATAGGAAATCCTACTCTACTGTAACGATCTATTTTATGCGATCTAGTTCTGGAAGGAAATAACGGAGATGTTTCGAGATCGAGCCACGTTTGTAAAAGATTTTTGCTTCCTATTCGTTTGGCTTTGTATTTTGGTGCATACATGGTATCGTAATCCCAGAATCCAAAATTTTGCCCTTTGTCTGTTGAAATTGACCGCTGAATATGAAATAAACAACTTGATAAAATAATTAAAACATTTAAGTATACACGTACCACGTAAGTTAATACGTGATATTTTTTATATCATGAAAGATAAATGGAAAAAAAATAAATACAAACTGTTTGAAAACTTCGTGGCACGATTGATGATTGTAAATCACTTCCGAATTGATAACGCAAATCGAGTACTTTGACTACCACGAATTCTCCTAAAGCAGCAAATACAAACATCATGCAACCCGCCATCCAAAGATCCAATGCCTACAAATGAATAATATTGTTAATTTATTCTACAAAAATAATTCAATCAAAAATTTGAATATATAATTAACAAATTATTATCATCATCATCATCATCATCATCATCATCATGATCTTACTTTAACATAAGCAACCGGAGGAATATCACTTTTCAATCCAGTAAACATTGTCACTAAAGTAAGCATACTTGTAACTAAAAGAGCAACACGTCCAGGAATAGCATCCAAACCCAACCAAAAGCTGAACCAAGATAACATCACGACTAACGTTGATGGGGCAAACGTTTGAATCAAATGATGTCCGATTTCTCTCTCAAATCGAAACAAAACGACCAACCTTGAGAAATTACCTAAACGATATTGAATTTTCATTTTATATACCGTATATTACTTTTTTCTATTAGAATTTAATTGAATTCTATCCAATAGAAGATCAAATTATTTTTAATAAACATCATCTCATACCATTCTTTTCCAACATATAATGAGTAGTCTCTTCAAAGACAACAGGTTTTCCTATATTGTATTGTAATAATTTTAATTCAGGATTAACTGTTACACCACTGTCGTCCCATCTCAAACGTAACTTTTGACTGTTGTAAGAAACTGGGAAAAGAAAATCTGATTTTAAAAATAAATGATAAAACGATTAAAATGAATGTCCGAAAGAAGAAAGTTATTGTTCGCGTTACTGCTTACACAAATTACAAATTTGTTATGCGTTACGTGACAAATGACTATTATTCTTTTCAGACATATTATTTGTTAAACTTACAACTTTCAATGTAGATAGGACAAACTTGTATGTCCATCGGATAAAGTTGGAATTCCATTTGACACGCTATTATCGCGTGCATACGTGCTGAATATCTTACTGTTTTGTTTCTGTAAAGTGTGACCGATGAAAATTTGCGGTTCAAAGTAGCGATTTCTACAAAACAACATTAACAATAAACGGGATTACACAATTTGTCACGATTATATTCTTGTGTAATGAATATAAAGGAATTAATCACTCTTACGAAAATATTTTAATTGATTTTTAATCGATGACGATATAGAAACAACAGGTTTATGTATATGTGTACTATTTCTATACGCGAAAACTGCTAATTTCATCGAAAAATGAGTGTGATCAAAATAAAATCATTCTGTAAAGAAAATAATTGAAATATAATTACCAGATACTTTGGAATTTAGGAAATATGGATCGGGTTGCCAAAGATTGTCAAAAAATTCCGGTGGAAATGTAACGTAATCGTCACCATCTTCGAATATGTCATCCGGCATGTAAAGTCTTGACTCGGTCCAACTTTGACGAACGAACATGTCTACTCTTTTAATTAAAAAAAAAAAAAAAAAAAAATAAAACAAATGAATAATTATGTAATAATATGATCGAGATAATTTATTAGGTTGAATTAAAAGTTCGTGAGTTTTTTTTAAATGAATATTTCCAAAGTAAAAAAACAAAGTTTCGATACAATGAACGTACGATAAATTTTGAGTTCATCCTAATATACGAAAATTTACCTAAAATCCATGTCCTCGACGTTGATCGAATTAATGTCCACGACAAAAATACTAAAATTCACTGTCACCGGTACACCCTTTTTTGATGGTGGTCGAATTTCTGAAAGAAAATAATCAAACACGATTATTGTTGTTTCAGTTTTAATGATACCACATTTATTCTTGTATCGGGGTACCAGAAAGTCATTTCGTATTTGTAATCCTATAATTATGAATTTATAATGAAAATATTTCCTAAAGTTTTTGATTAAATTATTTTTCTAATAAAAAATGTAATGAGACTTTATGGTACCCCTGATATATATTGTTAACGAACCTTTAACGTAATGATCTGGTAATACGACTCTTGGTTTCATAACATTTTTCGTCTGATTCTTGATATTTCCTTCGAAAATGCTAAAATTATATTGAGTAAAATATCTTTTTTAATTATTTAGAAAAAAAAAAAAAAAAATAAAACAAAAAGAAATAGACAATATTTTTAGAAAAGAAATATTAGTCCTAATATTATAATAAATAAAATAGGAGATAAAGTATAACCTGGTAGAAAAAACTTCTTGCAAAAGATTGAAACAATAGTGAAGTAAAATGATTACAATCGTAGTACACTTCATCTTTAGAAACATCAGAGAACTGTCAATGTCTTTCGATCGACATTTCTAACTAACTCGAAAGGCGTGCCAATTAATTCATTAAACGGTCACTTATATGCAATCTATTTCAATTGCAGGTATCGTAGTTACATTTCGACATGACAATTATTATTTTGTCATATTATGTAAGAGATAAAATATTCTTATTTTCACTTGGCAGAAACAAAACAAAACAAAACGTACCTGTGATTAGGTATGCTAAAAAATAATTCCGAAATGGTGTGAACGCTTATAGAAAACCTGTTGTATAATATTTTTATTTCGAAATTATATTCCTTTGATGAAAATAGAAATTATTGAAAAAAAAAAAAGTAAAAAAGAAATATATATATATTTTTTTCAATTATCAAATAATCGAACATAAAATAAAATATTTATTTGGATACATATATTGTAATTACGGATTAAAATATCAGTCAACGTTTGTTTTTTTTAATTACTGTAATTGATAAGAATTTTTCAAGTATTTAGTAGAAAATTTGTATAATCGAATTAATGTATATTAAAAGTGTATTTAAAAAAAAAAAAAGATAAGTAACAATTTGAACTTTGGTGTAGTTTAAAGACCCATTATAATACAGTTTCCTCTTCATTGATATCATTCAGAAGATGAAACAACGGTACATGCTTATACCAAACTAAACTTATGTTAGATGTCACGTGTGTCTCGAAAAGTCGACCTCAATCGGTGACCTCGATGAGTCCTATAGATTTTTTTATCTTTTAACTCACACTTTTTTTATCATGAATTTTTACAAAATCCAAACGGTGAATGACATGCTATAATAATGATTGTCATAAAAATATTACGAATAATATGACAGCTTGTGTGTGTGGTTGTTGTTGTTCATGTTCGTTTCAATACTTGAATACCATGAACCATGCTTCATATTTGATTTTTTTTTATATTTTAATATTAATTAATAAATGATAAATTTCATATTTTTTCATAATTGGATTAATCAGAATCTAATTGATCATACTTCAAATATAATTCCATTTATTGTAATATTTTTCTGTACGAAATTTTTCAAACAATACAATTGCATTGTAACAAATAATTTGTATCATTAACCAAAAAAAAAAAGGAAACAGAAAATGGGACGAATAATTTGATTACACTTTCAATTTTATGTGTTCATTAGTAACAAAATACTTTTTCTTTAAAGTATTATCCAACAGGTGTTTCGATAATCAAAAAATTTCTAATTGTAAAATCAAAATTCTGTTAGAAAATTAGGTCAGCAAATAAAGAAAATGTATATCTTGGTGAAACCTCGAAAGGATCTAAAAAGGATATCATCATAATCATCATCTTTCTCACGATCCATCGGGGTCGTCTTGAATTCTCGGTTTTTTGCCTGAAGCCATATTATACAAAGTTTTCAAAGATTAACACATACACGTGCACACAAAACTTACAATTGCAATAATATAATTTATATTAATAAATAAATAAATAGATAAATCAATCAATCATTCAATAATAATAATAATAATAATATCATCATCATTATAACAAATATAAAAATATTTTACTTTTCTTGATTGATTTCAATCCAAAAATAAGAAATTAATAAAACTAACGGTACAACGATTTATTTCCCCAAGTATTATATATTCGAAAATATTTTATCTTCACTTCGTAAACCGTTAAATTATTCTCTTACGTTTGATTAATTAATTATTTTTTTATTGCCCGTCAAATTATTCTTTTTATCCTAGAGGAGAAAATAAAAGAACCTTTGACGTTGATTTGTAATAGTTGGGGATACAAAAAAAAATGTCTAATCAACGTTACTACTTTTTTACCGATATTGTTTATTTAAAATCCTTTCCTTTTTTTTTTTCTTTGAAACATTTGTTAGATATTTAAAGCGTAGGAGGAACAGAAGAAGAAGTAAATAGTGTTTAACTCGTTGAAGAAATTGTCAGGAATGTTACGGAACTTGGTGTAGAAAGTTCACTCGCCCGATGATTTTCTTCTCGTATGTATTTGTCCCATTTATGTGTGCACACTCTTCTCTATCCTTCTCCTTCTACCCCACCCCCTCCCCCGCTCCCACCCTATTCACCATTCAGAAATAAAAAAAAGGAAGAAAGAGAGAGCAAAATCTATTCAGCAATAAAGTTAAGAATGCAGAACGTCGATTTAGAAATTCATTAATTTTTACGGACACGTTTATTATTTTTATCATTCGACAAAATATAATCATGAAATTTTTGTTTTCACCGTTAAAAGTTTTACCATTCGAATTTGATTAATTATTTATCGTTATATTAATCATACTATCGCAATTTTTTTCATACAAAATTTATATACGTTACGTTAGAATAATTATTTTTTTGTTTTTTTTAAGATTGTTATTATAGGATATAATATAAATGATCGGATCGAAAATATTATATTTAAGCTGTGGTTAAATATTTAAAAAAAAGAAAAAAAAAACAATTTTATATTTAAATATTAAAATTTTATAATTTATTTTAATTTATTTTATATATATATATAAAAGGGTTGTAAGAAAAAAAAGAAGGAACAAGTTTTAACGTAGAAATAATTTGTTCTTGTCTCAATTTGTTGTAATATTCAATTCAAAATATTGAGAGAAAGTACGCATGCGTATTTATTTATTAAAATACGCATAAATATTTGTCGATATAAGTTTGTAAAAAATCAAATCAACACGACAATAATAATAATAATAATAATCTAACGTTTGAATTTTAATTTGTCGTAAAATATTTCTTTACTCTTTATCGAGATAAATTTTTGTTCCCTATAAACATTACGAACTATAACAATTATGATGTTTTATTTGACTTTCGTTATATAAGGGAAAGTACGTATTAAACAATAACTTTCACGATAATTTACGAATACAAAAAAATTATTGTTCTCTTTTTTTTGTTTTGGAGAATAAGGAAAACACATTGGAAACAATTTTACGAGATGAAAGAAGAAAAAATCAATAAAAAAAGAACAAACAATAAGAAATAGAAAAATGTCGGAATGTAAAAAAGAAATGATGCACAATCGAAGTAAATCATAATAATAATCCAAATTATTTTTCCTTATAACTTTATTGGTTCATCATTATATTATCAATAAATAAAATTAAATCTCTGTCAAAAAAAAAAATCATTTGAATATTCATCGTGTCAAATACAACGGAATGTCGTAGTTTAATAAACGATTAGGCGTGCAATTTTGTTTGTTTTCTAGTAAATTTTCATTCTCGTCATGCCTGATGTTCAACGAGCCGTGAATTCTCGAGTATACCTTCCTCTCAGGTGCATTTCCGTGTTCATTCATGAAAATAAAAAAAAAATAAAAAAAAAAGATCAACGAACTCTGCCATATGTTTTTCTTTTTTTTTTTTTTTGTATCCCTCTCTCTCTCTTTCTCTTTGTAGATTAAAATCTATTAAATAATATTATACAAATCGTATATCAAAATTTGTTTTATCGTTAAAGAGAGAAACAAAATATATAACAAGTGTATTATATTTTAATTATCGATATTCGAATAGATTCGCAATTAAAAATTTCAATAAAACAATTAACCATCGTTCACATTGTTATTTCAATTTTTTCATTTTAATTTATTCAAAATTCTATTTTATTATCAAACACAATACAGATTTCTAAATTTTCATAATATCGATGAGAATTAAATAAAAATTTGATTTTCGATTAATCATATACTAACCAATAAAATATATATAATAAATATATTAACCAATAAAATTTCGATTAAATTATATTATTTTATAAAAAAAAAAAACAAACCCCATCAAGTATGGAATATATTATATATCTTTTATTCTATCTCTTCACACAAGACGATAATAAATAAAAATAATGAAATAATAATTAATACCAAATAAACAATATAATAAATAATTTCTATTGTTGTTTCATGTGTTCAGGTTTAATAGAAAATCTGTTATGTTAACAGGTTAACAGGGTAATGTTACAGGATCGAATTGGACGATAGAACACCCACAAGAGACACCCCCCTTTTAGGGTGTCGTATTGATTTCTATGATGGCGGCCAACCCCGGCGCTTACCACCCTAACAGTTTGCCGAGAAAACTGAAGCAACGTTGGGGGCTGCTCATGTCACTCGTGCTTATTTCCAATGGAAAACTTATGGAATAATTAATACTTATCATTAATTATTAATCATTTTTAATACGAACAATTTAATCCTCATTCAAATATATAAATAAATATATATACGTATCATTGAAATAATTAAGTTTTGAATAAACAAATTTTGGATACTTTAACTTAATCGATAAGAAATGTGAATAGTGAGAGTATAGTTTAACAACGGGGGAGGGGGGGTGGCGGCGGGGGGAGGGACTGGATGAAATTGGTGGAGGACCCGGTTTAGTTTAAACGGTCATTAACACGAATGAAAAAAAAAAATGGATAAAAATAAAAACGAAAGGAAGAATCTAAGTGACAAGTCGTTCGTAACGTAGTTCAATGAACTTTGCGTTTTAGAAAACAGGTGTTTTTAAACTTCTTTGATCCATATATATATATATATATATAATACGCGAGTGTGTGTGATTGTGTATTTGTGTGTGGACGTGTGCTAAGCACGTTGAACCGGTATTAGTGATATATTAAAATAAAAAAGAATAGAAAGAAACGTGTATTGGGGTAAAAGTAAAGTTGTGTGAGCGAATTCGATTTGATTAACCAAAAAAAAAAAAAAAAGAGATAGTAATCGTGTTAATGGCAAATTTTATTGTTATAATTATACGTTATATATCGATATTATTATTCTAAAAAAAATTAATGTGAATTCACGGTGGGGATCTTGATACGAGTTTCATTAATTTAAGTAAGTATCGTTTACTATATTTTTATATATTATATTTTTATTTATTTATTTATTTATTTATACTCAGTCCCTTTTGGGTTTGGAGGGCTTCCGATACAATTTTCCTTTTTACAAAAATTTAACAAACAACTATTATATATTCTATCTCAATACATTTAAATTTGAAAAACAAAACTCTGAAACTAAAACTAATTTTTTTTTTTGAACTAACTAACAACATAACAATTCACTTCTATATTTTTTGTGTGTTTTCTTTCGCAATTCTTTTTTGTACATTCTTTTTCTTTTTTGTTTTTTTTTTTTTTTTTTTATTCTAAAGTAGCAATTAAGTTCTCTCGAATTTCGAATGATTAGAGAAAGGTGCTTGAAAATGAATAGAAACAAAAATTAATAAGTGTCACACGCACACACACATTTGACATTTGTTTCGAACGAAATTGGTGAAATTGGTGGGGAATACATTTTCATACGTTAATTTCTTTTTCTTTTGATTTTTGGTCCTTTTTTTTTGGTTTGTTTTTTTTTTTAAGCATTTCTCCTAAGATTATATTTCTTACTCTCTCTCTCTCTCTCTTTCTCTCTTTGTATTTATCTTCTTTCTTTTTTTCTCCCACTATAACTTTCACCCGGATATATATACTGTTTTATACACATATATACACACGCACACACTCATAGAAATACACAGAGATATGCTTTCTCGTGAGCATAACTACTTTGAATCTACGCTTCGGATCGATAATGAAACGAATCAGACGTCAAAATAAATTCGCATAATCGTAATTCTTGTTTCCTTTTTTATTATTTTATTTTATGTTTTTTCTTTTTCTTTTTCTTTTTTTTTCTCTCGATTTATTCAAATTACACACAAATTTGCGTTGTCATCGTATTCACGATTAAATTATATTTTTATATTCATTTGTGCAAATGTCATAGAAAATTTTGAAATATTTTATTTATATATATTTAAAATTATTATTATAATTTAATATTATATAATATAATTTAATATTAATTATTATATAATTTAATATATATATATTTAAAATTACTGAATTAAATATTTGAACTTTTAATTATACGTATAGAAATATTTGTTTGTCCTTTTTTTTCCCCAAATAACATAAGATTTAATATTTAATATTTAATTAGCATGAGATTAATTTGAAATAAATGTTTATAATGAAAACATTACAATTGAAATTGATATATTTAATTTGTTAATATATATAGAAATGCAATTAATTGTAAGATAAAAAACATGTCATTATATCGATATGAGAAATTTCACTTTCGCATAAGTTATTTATACTATCTAGTATAAACTTAAATTATCTTTATACGGAGACACAAACGCACACACCGGATATATGTATTAGCAAAGTGGTTTTAATCCAATGAAGAGAAATCTTCTCTTAGCAATCTTATATATACACTAAAGATACTCATACGAGTTCAAAGACAAACGATAATAAAGATGAAGGATTATAAAATAACGTCATTTACCACTTTAGCACATGACTAATAAGCAATTGTAAAATAATCATACGTCATTATAATAAAAAAAAAAAAAACAAAAAACTATACACATAACTTTATTTCTCAAACAATCGTTTGATAATGTAATTAAAAGAAAACACACAAAGAGTTTATTCTTTCTGATTCGATTATAATATTTTTAATGTGTGATGTTTATGTGTGTGCGTGTTTAGATACTATATTTTTAGAATTATTAATATTAAAAAAAATAATATAATTAGTTTTGATCAATATATGTGAATGCAATCCTATAATTAAAATCCTATGGTAAAAATATCAAACTTATTACTACGATAATTAAATATTAAATTAAATAATATTAAAAAAATCCAATATAAAATTAATTTAAAATTACTGAAATAAATTTACGCGTAAAGATAACATTAACAATTTGAAAAAAAATGTATATATATAAACCACGGAAAATTAAAAACCAAATTAAAAATCACATATCATTCATAACACATAAATCTCAATATATCTATAATAAAAATACAAATAAATCAATATGTTTATATATAACTATACATAATATTAATTATATTAATTATTCCTTTAAATTGTATCAAGGTTGTGTGTTGAACAGTAAAGACAAAATAAAAAGAAACACGTGTTCATAAAATTGAAAGGAAAAAGTGAAAAAAAAAAAGAAAAACAATTACAACCTCAGCAAATATTTCTTCTTGTTAGATAAAATAAAAAATGCACACGTAAACGATCATAATAATAATAATAATAATGAAACTTAAAGAAAGAAATAAAATTAATTGAAAAGAAATTTGCTGTCAATTTGACAAAGGTGTCAGTGTCAGTGACTGCATATTTGCACTTGGTGCACGGATTTTATTGTAAACGATTATATTCTCCTAGACATTGACATCGAAAGTTAATAGTATAGTTTGATTAAATAGATAGAAACACCATTAACTATAATTGCACAACCATAATCATCGTATGAAAACGTTGAGAAAAGTGACGTCAACCATAGGATCAACTTTTATACGTGAGTTTTTTGAAGCGTCATCGAAAAGGTCAACGATTATTATCTTCCAACATAAAAAAAAAGAAAAGAAAAATATTCACAAGAGAAACAAGAGTAATCGAAATAAAAAATAAAGAAAGAAAGGGGAAAAAAAGAAACATCTTATTATTATTAAAAATTTCTTTATTCGCGACCACGTACGATAACGAAATTATTTATTTTCTCTCTCTCGAATAAATTTAATATTAATTTATAAAAAATTTTTTAAAATTTT